AGGAGCGTCCCTCCCCGAGGGGAGGATGGAGGGCGGGTCGAGGCGCTTCGGATGCCTCCCGGCCGGTTATGTAGCGCTTCCAGCGCCGCCTGCCCCTTGCCCGATCCCGGGCGACCTCTCCGGACGGGTTCCTGGATCACTTTGCACAACTGCAGGCGGGGTGGGAGGAGGGTCGTGTCAGTCTAGAGGGGCAGAAAAATCAGGGGTCTGGCGGCACTTTTTCCGACTGACTCATTTTGCACAGTTGTATTGGTACTCCTGATTGTGTACAGTCATGCTTGATCTATCCCTGAATATACCACACCCTTAATCGTGCCAGGAAAGCAACACCTAAGAGATGCAGTTTTTGTACAGCGTGCCAAACAGGTTACAGGTAGATCCTGATGAAAAAATCTAAAGGTAGCCTCCTTGCTTGTTTGTTGGTTTGTGCAAGGCTCCTGAGCCGCTTCAGTCGAAACCAACTCTGAGCACCATACAATTCCCACCTTTGTAATTCAAATTAAAAACGGAAGAGATTGATGCAAAAACATAGCTAATCACAAATCCCAGTGGTCTGTAGTAATGGCATACAAACAGTATGGTTATTGTGATTATGCAAACACGGCCTGTTTGTGTGAACGCAGAACATGGGTTATGGTGACTAGATTAAGCATGTTGGGTGATGGCTTATTGGTCTTGCCTGGTAGCACTTGCCAAGATAAGCGTCAAGATCCAGATAGTCAGTTTGGTGTGCGTGGAGGGTGGGAATAAATCTTACATTGTTTTTAGTTTTATTGGCAGCTATACAGTTTTTGAAAGAGGGGTAGTATATCATGGGATGTCTTCCTTAATCTTCAGCTGCTGAGAGAGAAGAGGGTATTGGGTCCCTGTCTTTCTAGGGGATGATCATCTTGCCATGGTGGAAGGGCTTAGTAACCTCAGTGACCCTGAGCGTGATCCTAGTGGGAACTTGGGATTATCCTTGTAGGTAAGGTCAGAATGAGAGAGGTGAAGCTAAGGTATGTGGGCTCTACAGGCATGAGGAAAGCTGACTCCTCTAAGAGAAGAGATCAGAAATCAAACTTAGAAAAAGGCAGTGGCAAACCACTTCTGTATTGTTGCCAAAAAAGCTGGACAAAAACCTTTGGACAAATTTGAGTGCCAGATAAGGCTCCTAATTGGATGACACTGATCTAATTACTGTAGGAAGAAGGCAGCCTTTCACAAGTCGTCCAGAAATGCTGATCTGACTAGACCAAAACCTCAAAGGAGTCTAGTCACTTGCAGTGCCAGTACTGAAAGAGGAACTCATCTTTTTACAAGGATGCATATAGTTGGAACAACGGAATATTAAAAGCTTTAACCAAGGAAAATTTGAAATTGGCAAATGCAGAAATACAGTACATTAAGGTTAATAGGCATGACAGAATGCTTGATTCTTCTTCTGAGGAATCTTTATAAAGAAAAGAAGCTACTGTAAGAACTGAATTTGGAGAAACAAAGTGGTTTAGAATAGAAAGAGGAATGAAACAAGGACACGTATTGTTGCTGCATTTGTTTAATTGATATGCAGATAATTTCAGCCAGCATGCTTAGTGAACTCACAGCTGACAGTGAAAAAGGTGGTAGATATTTATTTATTGGGCTCGAGATTAAAGATGGACAGTGCACTTGAGAAGGACAGAGAAACTTAATTCTAGGGAGAACTTCAACTGCAAACTTATAATAGGTCATGAAGAATAAATATATTTCTATGATAGAAAGTTAAAGCAGTGTTTTTTCCAATGATAACGTGTAACTGTAAAAGCTAGACATTGAAAAAAATGAGAGAAAGAATACAGAAATCTCTGAATAATGGGCTTGGAAATGGTTACTATAAATACATGAAAATCCTGTCAGTTGGTCCTGGATGAAAGACAGGTTGAGGTAGTTGGCATTTGTCAGGAGTTTCACCTGACTTGATGACACCTAAATATTCAGTACCCTACATTTCTATTGCTGTTTTGTCTTAGTTATGGAGTTTTCTTTTTTGTTACATTCTACATCTTTCCAGTCAAGGGATATTTACCTGTGCTCCATATATTCAAAGAGATTCAAGAAGACTACATAAGTAGATTTACTGCAGAGAATTAGGAAACCATAATAGAAAAAGTTATATGTCTAACACCCTCAGGAATCTTGCCCTTTATATATGTGCATTTGTCTGAGGGCTTGAATTTTGGATTATTTCCTCCTCCTCCTCCTCCTCCTCCTCCTTTTTTTTTTTTAAGTTTGTTTTGGGGTTTGAATTTTGGATTATTTCTTCCTCCTCCTCCTCCTTTTTAAAAGTTTGTTTGGCCCCTTTTCTTGGCCTTGAAGATTTTTGCCATCTGCCCCTTGTTTACAAAAGGAAATTCTCTGGCATATTCACACCTTGCCACTTTCAATCCTTTTACTACTTCCCACTCCATTTTCATCTCTTGGCCTCCCTTTGGATATAGAGGTGCCAGGAGCATCTTTTCTCCCCATTCTGTGTTCACGGGAGACTATTTCCATCACTTCATCAACATGCTGCTAAGTCTCCCTCCCCCTCCCCCTCCCTTAATATTTTCAGTTCCTCCTTTCTCTTGGCTCTTAGGAAGGAAGGGAAGCTCCATTTCTTCTGTGATTGGAGAATTTACCCCTTATAGTTTCTTCTACCCTTTTATCAGGTACTCCCCCATTCCAGACCTCTCCCCTCTGATCCTTGAGACAATCACTGTAATGTCACTCTCTTCAGATCAGTTTTCCTTTCCTCAGAATCAGAATTACTGACAGACACTCTAGCTGAACTGCCTCATAAGGTTTGGATTTGCGTAAATTAAAACTCCAGAGGAGGTGGTGGGTCCTAGGATCTTTTTGTGTCTGAGTAGTTATTCTAGTGAATCAAATACCAAAATAAATTTTGTATTGAATTCTTTCTTCTTGTCAGCAAAAAAAAAAGGGTGTGTGTGTGAAGAGGAAAGGGCAGAAGGTATGCTAGGGTGTCATTCCAAAACCTAGAATACTGCTGGAAATCAGGATGTACCTTCAGTATGCTTGAAAGATGTAAGTGAAAGCCGTCTGGATTGATCTGGGCAAGAACTGTAAATGGTCCAGTAAACTTAGTATCCAGTTATTTAGATGGTCATGTGGAAGGAAAAAATGGAGAAAGCTATGCATAATCAACCGCAGAGAGGAACCTCTTTGGCAGAGACAGTCAGCTGAACATTTGTAGGAGGTCTTGGCACAATCTGATAGATACTTGATGAGATGTAAAGCAGCCTGCCACTCCTGGAAAATGGGAGGATTTATTTATTTATATAACAAATTAATATAGACGCCCATCTAGCCAAGGAGCTCTAGAATGGGGGAAGACCAGGAAGCATTAGGCATTAGATTTGAGTTATAACAACTGAGTAGAGGCAAGTACCAAGTTATTGGAAACAAATAGCCCATGGGTGAAAGACCAATTTGCCATCTGCATGATAGTTAACATAGCAATGGAGATATTGCTCCAAAGTGGCATTCGTCCTCTATGTTTTGTCACCTGTCAATGGATAATAGGCAGAGGATGGAAGGAATTGTATGTGCAGTAGATGAAATAGAGCTTTCCAAAAACATTCCATGCACTATGGACCTTTGTCAGAAATTAGGCAATTGGACAAGCTATAATTTTGGAAGACCTGTTGAATAAATCAACAAGCCATCTCAGAAACAGAAGGGTGGCTATGACAGGGAATGAATGGGTTATTAGCTACCACTAGCATGTCATGTAGGTGCTTGACATGTGATTGGTAATCACACATAAGTCAAAGGGAATTGTCCCAAAGCCCTAAGAAGAAGAGTGGGAGCATAAAAGTTTATTGGTAAGAGGTTTGGGAAGGTAACAAGTATAGCAAGGATAAAAGTGTGCCTTGATATCAGTTCTAATGTGGGACTATCCAAAGTGATGAAGAAGAAGAAAACTCATTTTAAATGTTTTAAAATGTGCACTTGGTCAGCTGTCATGGCAGATTTCAAGATTTCCTCCCTCAAAGGAGGAGGAACATACCACTGGTCATTGTGATATAGTTCTTCCCATCCTAATAAAAGGGAGAGAGGGACACATGAAAAGGGGTCCTCATGAAAGTAATCTGTCCAACCCTGCATGTATGGTCTTCCTTTGCTGAATACAGGTTTAATCAATTAATAAAGGAGTCTTGTTGCAAGAGTTTCCCAAGGTGAACCAAGCACTGGAGATGGATGGGAAAGTTTCTGGGGGGCAGAATGGATTTGGGAGGAGGTCACAGGGCAGTAAATTTTCTGACTTACATGATAAAGCATCACCATGCTTGTTGTGCAAGCTAGGAATAAAAAATAATAAAAGTTAAAACAGAAAGGATTGTTGCTACTTGATGTGGGGCTACATAAGTCTGTGAGAAATTTGTGTTACAAATTAATGTGGTCAGTTTGAACTTCACTAGAGTGTTCCATGTCTTCAAGGAGATGTCATCAGTTTTGAAAAGCATTTTTGATGACCATAAGCTCCTTGTTAAAAGCAAAATTTTGCTCAGAGAAAAGTAGCTGTTGACAAAAGGGAGCTCGAGGGAGAAAATAGTTGTCAAAGTCCAGAATGGATTGTAAAGACAGAGTGTCCAAGGTGGAATCAGAAGCATCAACTTTAAATGAAAAAGGGTATGTGGTATCTGGATGATGGAGAATGGATTGAGAAATGAATGCTTGTTTTAGCAGGAGAAAGGCTTGTTGGGCCTTGAGATCCCTTTCTTGGTAAATGATCAAATGTTGCAAAATTAGGAAAACAGTTACAGTAAAAATTGGCAAAAGCCAGAAAATGCTGCACATCCTTAATAGTGAATGGCAGTAGCTAAGGCAGAATTGATTCGACTTTAGGTGAATCCATCTGAAGTCCTTCTGGAGGA